ATATATATATATATATATATGTATATATACATAAAATATTCAAATATTCAAATATTCAAATGTTCTTACTAATCGAATAGACTTTGGTTATTATTACATATTTCTCATCACTTTTTATAATACTAATAAATTTACTTATTACAGAGTTTACATTTTTGAAATGCTTAATGGGTAAATATTCATTAAATTGATAGTAACTAACTGTTATAGCGAATATTGGAAGCAGTGACCTAGGTATGTCATAAGAAATCATGTTCGAAGCTTATTCAGTTGCTATAATAAATGTCGAATGTTTTATATTTTCTGATAAGCCAACTCGTCTGTAATGCTGAAATAACAAGTCAAGGACTCAGAAGTAAGATGACAATTCCAGGCACTTCTTGATGAGTCATAGCCTTCTATTAATTGTTTGAATTGGATCCAATACAGAATCAAACGATGCTATTCTAGTTAAAATTAGCAACAGTTTATTACTTTCAATCGAACCCCATTCTTTTTATGAAATGGTTTATGACATTTAATTTTAACATTAAGATCCTCAAAACGTTAATTTTCTACAGACGTGGTGCCGAAATTATATACCAACTTTTAAATATAAACGTAAATTATGATGAAACTTTTAACAATTAAACATAAAAATTTTTACTAAAAAGTAAAAAAGGAATTTGTATTAATTTGTAAGAAATTTCAAAAGAAGTTCTCAACTAACGTAAACATGTTAGGCAGCAATTACTACGTAAACTATTTTAAATAATTTTTACTAATTTTAAACTAGTATAACTGTAGCAATTAATATCTTTAATATTTTTACATAGTAATATTTTTAATTTAAAACTTAAAAATTTTAATAGTTTTAAATTTGAGTCGTAATTTTAATCTAAAATTTCGATTTTCAAGTTATTGTAATTTCACATTCAAATTCTAAATAAATACACTTGACTAAACTCCGTTAAAATATCTTGTTTTTATTTATAAGTATATTATAAATTTAAAAACGGAACTTAAATTTCAACTAGGTAAACATAAATTAAGTCATAAAATAACATACATTGGTAAATAAATGCAAAAAGCGTTTATGTAATAACCATTGATATGTGCTCGTTAATAAAAGTATAAGTCAGTATCACAAAATGAAACTCTTATACTTGAAAAGCTTGTAATGAGTCGAGCAAATTTTGTATCGAAAACATATTTATTAATTAAAACTTAATTGAAAGTTTTTCTCGGTAAATATCTTACCGAGAAAAATCTGAGCATATCGCCCAGAACATTGTATATATGTTGCTTAGAGGGATATAATTTCCAAATACTTAGAACATAGAACATAGAAAAATAATAATTGAGTACCGAAAACCAAATAAAAATGCAAACCATATTAATTTTAGTCTTCTGCAATTCAAAAAAGGCTAAGATAATGTTTTCATAAATGAGAAAATGTTAAACATAACCTTTCAGCTGTTCACATAAAAAATATAGTTGTTTTCCTTAATAAACTAAATTTGACTTATAATTCAATTAAATTCATTAAATAAGGCGCAAGTAAAATGACGTACTTCAAATGCGTATAGAGGTTATATTATTATTTTATTTATTTGTATACGCAAAAATGATTTTTATTATATTTATTGACAAGACATAAAGTCTTAAATTTAAGAAGCTAAGTATTTTAGGTTTATGAGTATAACGTATTAAGTCAAAAGAGCTGTGTTCTCATTAGAAACGAAGTAATCTTAAAAATGTATTATTATCTAATGATAATAACTTCCGATATGTTATCAGTAAATATGTCTAATTAGACAGATACCTGCTGTTCTTTTGTGGAGTAAAATTATCGAAATGCGCATGTGCAATATTCGTGGCAATCGAACTTTATGCTTCATTTTTACATATAAATTTTTAAATAGGATTTAGTTTTAAAGGAGAAATCGAAATGTCAAGTGTATAACCAGTAAAGACTACTACTATTAATGTATTCACAAACCACTGACACTTACCGGCGTGTCATATTCGTCTTGTTGTTGATAAACGTCTTCGTTGGAAGACTTTTGGTGATGTGAAAACGACTGTTTCCTTACGCTGCCGGACGATTTCCGGTCCAACGGCTTTGGCGAACTCATAATGATGATCGGTCACACATACCCGCACGACACATTTAATGAAATATTTTGTTTATGTATGTAAATTATTATTTTCACCAACAGTGACTGTATCAAAATTAATTGCGATGGTGTCAGTTAATTAATTTACGTTCAAAACCATTAAACAAATGTTTAAAAATTCATATATATTTTATAAGACTATTTGTGTGTATAAAATTTATTTTTAAACAATTAAAAAAACCATAACGCTACTGACATACCACCGGGCCGCCTAACCACAGTCAGACATCAATACGACGAGTCGACTACTGACTAGCCGTCTAGCACGAGTGGCGGTAATACGGGCAGCGCGTGCGTATCAGCTGTTTACCCTCGCCACTACCATTCCATCGATTCTATTAATCATAAGATGCACCTGACGCCGTACAGCCTTATGAGTTGGTCTTCTAAACCGTTGCACCTGACCGTTTGTCGTTTCAATAAATATTCGGCTCGTATGACTTAGTTTAAGGATTGAAGGTAACCAAATAAACTAGTTTAATAGCTCAAAGTTCGTTTTAAGTAAGCGAAAATAAATTGAGGTCATGACATTTAAGTTTGAACTCTTTGAATTAAGTCCTTATTTTTCAAGCTATTTTGAGAAGTTCAATTTCAAAAGTATTTTAAAATAAATTCATTAATGATGCATTAACGAAAACTTTGGTAGAACTTTACAAAAGATAAATTAATTAATATCAATTACTCAGGCCAATCTTATTATTGATATCTTAATTCAAAACTATATTTAGTTATTATTTATTGTTGAAATTTAGTAACATTATATTCATTATTGTAAAAAAAAATAATTTTTAGAGAGGGGAAATTATATTTAGTCCATCCACAAAAATAAAAAATGTTGAGCACTCTACGTTCAGAAAAATAATACTTTTACCAAAAATAAACAAAAATATTAATTAAAAAATTATTGTCGTAACATGACATTTTATTTATTTATCCTTCAGTTTAAGAATAAATTTTCATCTATTACTCTGGGTTACTATCTAGTGCACCAACCACGAGCGCCCGCAGTGTGGATAAAGAGGGCAGATGTCTCCTGTTGACTTCTTGCTTATTCCATTTTTATAATTATTGTATATTATAAAATTTAATAAAAATATGAATTTTTTTAATTTAAAGATAAAATTGTATTTTTATTAAATTATACAATGATTGCTAGGATTAAGAGCGTTGTTTTTTTATACATTAATTCCATGTAGGTTTGGTTTTTATTTAAAAATTTATACACACTTAATTTTATTTATAATACAAAAAACTACCAAAATATTTTTTATTTCTAATTGTTTTCTGTAAGGCCATCAAGTGTCTTTTAGAATAACATTTATCAGGATTTTAATTGTACTTTCGCTAAAAGAGATATTATGTACTATTTTGCTTGGGTATTTTAAGTTTAAATTACATTTTGTATAAATTGCTTGCATATTTAAATAGAGAATAAACTATAATAAATAAGGCCCGAACTTAATGCAAAAAATGTTTGAATATATATGCATACAAATGCATGTATAAAACGGTGCGAAGATTAAATATTGTGAAGCTGAGAAGGTATTAATTTTACCATGATATGTAATTTTTTTTTATTTTTTTTTTGTGTCCGTCACTACATTTTATAAACACTCACAGCATTGATTTTTCTCAACTATACGTCAATAGATCAGAAATCGTATCTAATTGAAGACATTATCCTCAAAAATTGAACATTTTGCTCTTATTGAAAAAACTTATTGAAAAATGAACGAATCAAAATAATTCTATTTTATATTGAAATCATAGATATTTTTCTTTCATTTGATAAAAAATTTTTTAAAAATCTGACCCTATATCAGCCCACAGAGGGGATTTAAAATAGCAACTTCTGCATAAAAATTTTAATTTTTCAACTTAAGTTTTGAAAATATTCCAGAAATACTCCAAGCTTCAAACATATACTAAAATAAAGCTTTTGTTATGTACTATAAGTTCAAAAGCAAAAATTTGTCCCGACGACTTATCTTCTATGTGAAAATGATTGCCGTAGATAGAAAAACATGCAATTTTGGTGTAAAAATTTACGATTTCATATTTTATTTTTTCAACTTTAAATTACTATAATTATTTGAAAAATGTATGGATCAATAAAATTATTTTTTCATAAATATTTTAAGTTTACTTCTTTCATTTCATATCCATTTTTGAAAATCTGAATTTTCACCTGACTACGGTGGGGACTCAAAATAACAATTTTTACACAAGGTAAACTTTTTCAATTCAATTATTGAAAATTTTCCAGAAATATTGACATTTTTATTTAATCTTAAATTAAAGCTTATGTAATATACTATTCTATGAAAAAAAAATTTCGAGATATAATCAACATGGTTATTATTCAAAAATGTGCTATTTTTGTCTTAAAATTCTTAGTATTGTATTTTAATTTATTTTATTTATATATCTTATGATAGAGTACACTGATTTTCATGAATATTATATGAAACTAATTAACATAGAATATAAGGTTAAACTTATTTCAATTTTTTTTTCTTTTGAGTCCAAAAAATTAATTTTAATATTTGAATCAGCTTAAATTACCAATTTTATCAAAAATCGAATGCGACAAACGTTTGATGATTCAGTAAAAATCTTGCCTGTGGAATTGATTTTTTTACAATTTTTCTTTAATTCTTTTTGAGTTATATTTTATTTTTCAATAATCCACCAATTTCTTAAAATTAAACGCTCTCTTAAGATTTACATCAAAACGTTTCTTATGATAGTGATTTTAATTACTGTCACATATCATCTATACTAGTCCCAACTATGCCACGCTCATACTGTGATGTTACCCTACTGTATAACCGTTTTTTTAAATGGCAACATACCTATTTAATTAAATTATGAAATAGACTGGTCGATAACAATTTTTGAATCAGTATTTCAGAAGATATTCACATTTTTGTATTTAGGCAGGAAATGACTAATTAGAAAAATAGCAGCATCTGCGATTCACATCCAGTCTATTATTTATTTTTAAATTGTTTTAAAAAAAAATTTAAAACAAATTTTGTTTTGATTTTGTAACTTAACGCATTATTTTCTTTTCTTTTCTTTGAAGTCGAACAATCTGTGATAAATTTAATTACAATAAGCACGAGTGATGTTCATGTTAAGCAAATATAAAAAATTATATATAGAGACAGTATACAAATGTCAGATATCTGGGTCTATTTGGATCGCCGCCTTACCTTGACTACTCATATCCATTCCAAACGTCCCGTCTTAAACAACCGCTCCCGTCAATTGCGTTTCCTTCTCACATCATAACACCTCAATTTCAAAAATAAAATTCTTCTAACACAATATTAAAAAAAAAAAAATCTTTAATATTATGAAAAATGATAATTTTAAGCAACAATATAGAAATCCAGGGTTGGAACCTTGGTGATTTTTAAGAACCGGTTTTAAAGAGGTTCATAAAATAAGAGATTAATATTAGCAGGTTCTATTAGTGGTTCTTAAACTTTTTTTTTTTTTGAGGTTTTTATTGAAAAATAAATAGTATGTATTATTATATTAAAGATAGGTATCATAGGTATCAATTTAAGTATTAATTTTTACATTAATTTAAATATTCCAGAGCTGTTCCTTGTGAAAAAGTATCTTAAAAGTGAATAAACTTTCATTGAATTTCTGTAATATATTTTAGGCAATAAAATAGGCGGTTTAAAAAACATTTTCATAACTACTCAAGTAACTTTTTAGTTATTCATTACGTACCCATAACTAGTGATGTAAGATTACTAATATTAAATGGGGGAATATTCTCAAAAGGCGAGAATATTATTTTTTTTTGTTTTTAATATATTATACTTCAAAATGGTCCTAAATTGGTAAGAAATAAAAAAAATGAGAAGCCATAGAAATGTCTTGAATTGGCCAGCAAAGAAAAAAATTGGTATATTTCCAAATGAAAGTAAAATATAACCAAATAAACTGTTGGTTTAAATAATCAAATAACATGAAATATCTGAATAATATATGATTTCTACTAAAAAATATTGTGATAATAATATAATTAATTTTTTAGCACGATAACGAGTCATATTCATAAGCTTACATGGTGACTTAGCTTACAGATAATTTGAAGAACCATTAAACGATCTGCTTTTGAAAATGTTCTTTAAAACATATGATTTGAGATTCTTCACTCATATGATATAATTAAATATTATTTAAATATATCCCAGACAAAAATTTACATTCTCAAAATATTATATGAATATGGAATTTTAAATGAAAATAATATAGAAATATTTCTAGATAATTTTCACATGATTCTTTAAAATCATGTGACATTGATTCATGAAATTGAAATCATGATTCTAGAATATTGTAGTAACGTTACCAGGAAATTATTTAACCAAAATTTTTATGTTTTAGGAATACATTATAATATTTAAAAATAATTCGTTAACAGACAATATATCATAATAATATTCTGGTAAAATTACCACAAAAATTTAGATATACCAAGAAATAATACTGAAATGTATTATTATATTGACAAATTAAGTTTTGTACAATTTGTGACATTTAAAAAATGTCTAATACCTAAGTGAATTCATTGAAGGTTCAATTGGGTTGCTTATTTATAATGTATGCCATTGTAAGTTAATATATTAATCCTAGATCAATCTTTGATAATATTTTAGCATTATAAATAAGAAATATGTTTATGTATATTCTCGTAAATATATAATATTCATATCAGGGGAGGAGTATAGGGATTATTATTCACCTAAAACTTATAGTCCGTATTGTAATATAATCGATCTAAGAAACTTTGTACCTTTGTTTCATATTTATAGTATAATAAATATGAAACAAAAGGTATTTAAGAATTGCAATTTAAAAAGTCAGTATAGATTTTTTATAGTCATTAATAAAAATTAATACTCTAATGATGAATATTTTTTTATTATTTTATGCTTCAAACGTAAATTGGTGACCACATAATAGTAATTGATAATTTTTTTTAATCTATGAATATTATTGGTAGTTTTTATAACTTTTGGATACAATCGTTAATATTAACTTTTACGATCTACGTTTAAATATAAATAAAAATTATTGTTTATAAAAAATAAAATAGCTTTCATTATTTTGTTGAAAATCTTTATTCAATAACCTAGAAAGACTTTTCAAGGTAATCTAATTTTTAAATTATTTTTTAACATTACATTTTAATTTATATAATAATATATAGTTAAAAATATCTTATATTTT